AACCGGGAGGCAGTGCAAGACAGGAGGGCCTGGCTTGCTCTGGTCCATGGGGTCACAAAGAGTCAGACACAACTTAACAACTAAACAACAATAACAAAGCATCAAACAGGAACTTCAAACCTTTTGATTTTATGAGCCTCAATCAACCAAGGTACTTTATATATAAAACAGTGGTGCCCCACTTGATGATGATAATCTGTTCCAGGAAAATCGCTGTTAAGCAAAATCGTTGTCAAGCAAAAAAAAACCCATTGAAATGCACTGAAAACCGGTTAATGCGTTCCAATGGAGAACTATCTCAGAAATACTGCTGATCAGCTGTTTAAAATCATTGTCTTCCGAAGCAGGGGTCCGGAAAACAGCCATTCTGTGAAGGGAAGCCATTTTGCGGAGCCAGAAAAAGCATTGTTTTGCAAACAAACGGTTCGCAAAGCAGGCACCTAATCGACGTAAAGCAGATTTCCCCCATAGGAACCATCATTTTGCAATCACAATAGCGATAGCAAAAAAGTCATCATTAAGTGATTTCATCATCAAGCAGGGTCATCGTCAAGCGGGGCACCACTGTATATATAAATTTCTAACAGGAGATATAGGCCAGTATCCTATTGCGTAGCTTCACCTGTGCAGTGAAACTGATGTCTGTGGCCAGGCAGACTTCCATTAATTGAAGAATTAATTGGGGGGGGTGCACTCTGATATAAAAAAAGTCTTGAATTAGCAGCAATCTGATGCAGCTGGTGTGATGTCACTTCCATTGCACAGATGGAGCTGCACAACAGGATGCTGACCATAAGGAGTAATGGGACACAAATCAACTTAGAGGCCAATGGAATATAGGCTGTTACAACATGAGCTTCAAGCTATTTACTGAGTTACAGGATACAATCCTCTATAAATCATATATTCAAAGACCTAAAGAAAAGAATACAGTGGTGCCCCGTATAGCGAGGTTAATCCGTTCCGGATTAACCTTCGCTATACGAAAACATCGCTGTGCGGGTATGGAAAACCTATTTGAACGCATTAAACTTAGTTTAATGCATTCCAATAAGCGTCCAAACTTACCCCTCCAGCGATGTTTTCGCGTCCGGCGGCCATTTTGGAGCCACCGATCAGCTGATCGGCGGCTCCAAAATGGCCGCCAGATGACCCAATCGTCGCAAAGCGAGTGCGGCGATTGGGGCAGATCCGTATAGCGATCCCCAAAAAGGGATCGCTATACGGATTCTTCATTAAATGGTGCGCTCGTTAAGCGAGGCACCACTGTATAACAAGGATACACATATTTCTTCTTAATATTTGAAGTGTTCATATTTCAATGGGAAAAATCCTGTTCATGCTGGCATAAATTTATACTGGTTTGCCAGGCATGATAGCCAGCAATAAGGAACTGCACAATTCAATTGCACAATCAGTTCTGTGTCCCAGCATGACCAATTGTGCAAAGCAACAGCAAAAGTGTGCCCTTGGTACTATTATAACTATCAAGAGCATAATTTCAAGCTGTGCCTGTGTAGTTATATGACTGATGTTCAACTGACTCAATGGATTTTGCCCATTAAGTCAGTTGAACATCAGTCATATTTTAACATAGCTGAATCTTACATTTATACCAATTCTAACAGGTTTATGTTTTAGTATGTTCATTGTATAATTTTATTACTAATTTTGCATCCCATATCATACACATGCACAAACACACACACACACACCAAAAGATCAATGAGTTTAAAACAATTTAAAACAAAAAAGAAAGGAGACATTTTAAAAAGTTGTTTCAGGATAAAAAGAAAAGTGCAACACACCCCTCTTTCAAGCCTTCTGTGCAACATGATCAGTGGCCAAAAGTTTGCCTGAAGAAGGACTTTGCCCACTGGCAAAAGGACAGCAAGAAGAAACCTTAGCTCTTCTCCCTCATATCTTTCATGGCTCATATCTTTCATGGCTCCAGTTTAGAGTTTGATTTTCTCATTGTGTTTCCTGTAAGTAGAGCCAACCTGTGTGGCTTTGGACAAGCTGCATAGTCCCAGGGAGCCCCCTTGAAAAAGGGAATTGTAAACCACTTCTGAGTATTCTCTACCTGGAAAACTCTGAAAAGGATAGCCATAAGTTAGAATTGACCTCACGGCACATTATTTAAAAACAACAACAATAAATATGCTTAGGATTTCACTGCATGTTGACCAACACAAATACTCAAGGTTTTGTCTTCCTTCAAATTTATATGTTATTTATTTTTCCAGTTCAATGTGAAAAAAATACAGGGCAATAAATATTTTTGCTGGTCAGTGTGCAATGGAATCCTAAGCATGTTTGCTCAATATCAAACTACACTGAGCACAGTGGGGCTTACTGTGAAGTCCTTGAGCTGGGTACCTGGCTGTGGAGGCAGAGATCAAGAGTTCAGTTCCCCAGGAGAAGAGCCAGGTGCATAGTCCCAATGCACGCCCAGAAAAAGGGAATGTGTAAACCACTTCTGAGTAGTTTCTACATAGAAAATCTTGGGAAAGTTCATCGTTAAGTCAGAATCAACTTGAAGGTGCATTATTTGTTTTTCCAGTCTATGGTACTAGTAACACAGTATTTGAAATGACAGTGAAAAAGTGTCTATGGTTTTCTTACAGTATCAGTGAGGATGTGTCATACTTGTGAAGTTCATCTGTAGTTCCCATTAGCCTAGCCAGTGGAGCCATGATGAAAGGTGATATAAGCTGTTCTCTTAACACTTCTACAAAGCCACACAGACCTCATCCATATTGTAAAGCATTACACACATTAAAAGTTTGATGTGCAAGTCTTCTATAAGATGACAACATACTAATATCCTAGTACTTTTTCATGCAATTCACATCTAATGAGGCTTATTTCTAGAGGAGCCTCCACCAAACTATGGGATATACAGTATATTTTTGAAATGGATACAATCATCCACTGTGATAATACCTGAAACAATATGATTTTTTTAAGTATGTGTACTTTCCCTTGCAAGATGAAGGTTACTTTCACTATTAATTCATAGAAAACAAATTTTTAAAAGGTCACCCTAATTGATTCAAGCATATGCATAGAATTTTCACTACAGACTTCAGGAAATCCAATTTAAACAGTTCAAATATTTGTCTTACAAAAGGTCAGGATGATATTCATACCTACCCTACCCTCTCACAAGAAACAGTAGTATACAAAGTAGGAGAAATGTAATCTGTTTGCAAATTAAAATGCACAAGTTTTTTTTTAGCATGAACACAATATTCTGCAAGTGTTTCAGAACTCACTTCTCAGACAATTCAGGATAAACAAGAAAAGAAAATATATTGAACAGGATATAAGAAATACATTGATGGGCTCAAAACTGTTACTAAGGAAGCCTTTAAAAATAGTTGGTTCCAACTTATGGCAAACCTTTTCACGGTTTTCTAGGAAAAGAGTACTCATTCCCTTCTTCTGAAGACTATGTAGATTGCACAAGGCCACACAGGCTGGCTCTTCTAGGAAACACAGTGGGGAACTGAATTCCCAACACTTGATTAACTCACTGAGCTCTCCAGCCAGCTAAGCAACCCTTTAGCACTGTCTTTATGCCCAGATGGAAAACTTCAGTGTGAAGCACTAAAAGCTGACTAGGCCAGGCTGGAGCTGACACAGATGCTTAGCCCCTCCCCTTAACACTCAAACCGTCCAATTACTTGTGCAGTGCTCTACCCGGGGGGAAATCATATTATTTCAAATTAATGGGGTGTGGGTGTTGGAGAAGTAAATTCAGAAAACTTCTCCTGGCTATAACACAGTCAGGGTGAAGGAATTGCTTTCCTCCACACCTCGGGATTGCCAAGGGGCACCGAGTAGGGCAGCCCGCTTCAATCAACTCAAGTGGATCACCCGGGAAACAATGGCAACACATCACCAGGAAGTCGCTTTGTTTATGACAAGAAAATGCTTGGGCAGGAAGAAAGCTCCCTCTTTTTTTCCTGGCATGAGTAAGTTCTGCACATGGTTCCCCACCAGCTCACCCCCACTAGGGACCAGCAGGGTGCCCAGAAGTCCGCTTGAGCTTAGCTTAACAATAACCTGCCAAATAACTCACAGCCCACAGACAGCCACCGACACGGGGAAAGTGAAAGGAGCTCTTGTTCATCAGGTTGTTTCGTGCAAGCAACTGTAATACTAGAGAGCCCACGCTTTGGAATATTTATTTTGCTGTCAGAGCATTTTACTAAGATATGGTGTTGATTCGGCCTTCAAAACATACAGAGAGAGAGAGAGAGTGAGAGAGAGAGAAACTGAAATTAGACTTAAAGAACCTGGCACTGGATATCTGAAGTCTGTTGTTCCTCCCCTCTTCTACATGACCCATCACTGGACTATAAAGATCCTTGATGTGGAAATGCAGGGACACGAATCAATTGCACCGTTTGTCTGTGTTAAATCCTTGCTGTTGGCAACCTGAATGAACAGGGCTCGAATCGACGCTCACACATACAATGGTATTCATTTTCTCTCTCTCTCTCTTTTTACATGCCTGATTTAGCCCTAGCTGGCAGATTTATGGGTCCGTTTCTCCTGACAGCTTAGCTGCGTGTGTGTGCGTGTGTGTTTTCACGCATCCAGATGTTAACTCTTCCATTGCCTGGAAGTATTGAATTGCAGATTCATCGCCAAGCAGTTAAAGGTGAAGACTAAGAGAGAGGCTCAGATAGGATTACAGGGTAGCAAGCGGAGAGAGCGAGAAAGGGATACAGTGGGGGGAAAGACACCAGTAACTGTATACTGTATCTCTCACCACTGTTTACGGAGAGAGCGCCCTTTTGATATAAAGCCCATTGTTAAAAGGAAAGGCTGCAGTGCCTGGGTTGTTTCTCTGGCGTGGAATAGAAAGCCAAGGTTGCATCTATCGGTCCCTCCTGGATCAGCATCCTTCATGCTTCTTATGGATGAGAGGCAGGGCAAAGCATCTCTGCAAAGCTGAGAAAGAAAGAAAAGCCTCTGATCTGCCTTACCTTGTGCCACAGCTTGCAACATGTGGAGCTGAAGCAAGAGAAACGCCCACCACCCCCGGCAGAAGAAGTCGAAGTTGAACTTTATCATCGCTCGATCTCGCCAGCTCTTCCTCGCCCGAGGAGTAACGTCTCCATTCGCGTTCCTCGGGACCACGGTTCCCTTACGGACCCCACCAGCACCATCCGAGGCGGGCCCAGGAAGATCCCCGGGGCTGGACCTTTGGTGAAAGCTCACTCTCACCCCAGAAGAGGCCAGGCTCCTGCGGGTGGGCTGGACAAGCCGCCTGCTGTGCCCATCCTGAAGTTTCTGTGGGGCAGGAAGAGGAAGCCCCGCTTTCAAGCCGGCGCCGGGCTCTCTACGGTTGGTGCTCACCTTGCTTACAAACCCAAGGCAACAGCATTCCCGGTGCATGACTGAACTGCAATCGCCGCCCAGATCCATGTGTCTCGTGGAGGAACTGACTGCACCAAAACAATCAGGCAGAAATGTAAAACACATGTTTCCTCCGGACTCCGTCACCGCCAAAGCCTTCGCAACACACACGGAGGGAGAGAGGGGAAAGAGAGAGAGAGCGGGTGTATTAAGTTTACTGGCGTCAGTATTTCAACAGATTGAGGGTCCTCGTTGCATCTCTACGAGAGAAACCTTCCTAAAAAAGCACGGAACGAGGAGAAGAGAAGACCGATCCATCCCAGCTAGGCACCGGCAGACAATCCGGAAACCACCTTCCGTACCGCAAAGATGACGGAAACTGGTCCCCCTGGTGATTAAGCATGGTTAAGATTTCGGCGTTGTCTGTCTCCATCCACCCTGCCTTCTCCGCCTCCGACCGAGCCCAAGCAAGGACCTGCGACTGAAGTTCTCGATGCTCTCTGGTAAGTCGTCAAATCTTGCCAGTTGCAAAAGAGATCCAGTTATTCAAGGGATTGTTTCATACAGTTCACAAAGATCACTGACAGGTTTGCGTCTCTCCGGATAAACCATTCTCTTCGGAGAGCCATGACGGGTAGTTTAATCCGATTTCCCTCTGCTTCGCTCCTTTTTTTTCCCCTCTTCCAGAGTCGAATATCGTCCTTTCGTCACATCAGTCGCTGGGAAGATCCACAGCCAGCAGGTAAACTGGAGCCGCTTCTGGCTGCTGCTCTTCCAGCTAGCTTTGCAACCAGTTACCCGCCAATGAGAAGGAGGGAGGGGAAGGAAGGGGAAGGAGGGGGAGAGGGAGGGATGGGTTTCTCTCTCTTTTTTCCCCCCCTGTCTCTTAAACTCTCTGCTGAAGGTGGGGGAAAAACCTGATCAGATTTCCGTCCCGGCAGAAAAGAGGGAGAGTCCAACACCAGGAAGCCTAAGCTTCCCTCCCAGCCATTTCCAAAATCGCTCCGGACCTACATGCAGGCTTTTCCTGGGTCAACGGCGCGGAGAGCCGGAGGCGACGTCGCAGACCCCACAGACGGAGTGAGGGAGGTTTTCAGCTGGAGGGGGAAAAGACTTGCGTGGAAGAGGAGGAGAGGAAAAAGCAAAGGCGAAGGCGACTGCTGGAGGACTCAGCAACAAGGTGACCGCCTCTCTGGAGCTGGACGCCGGCGTCCCTTGCAGCCCCAGCTCCGGGAATCTTCCGGGGCTTCTCTCGTGCGCTGGAGCTGTAAACACAAGGCAGAGAAAGAGAGGAGCCGTTCCCAGGAGCTCAAGCAGAACATCCCCAGCATCAGCCTCATCGCCGTAGTTTTAAAGTGCGGGCGCGTGTTGTGTTTTTAAAGAAAACGGAAACTGCAGTGGGAGCCAACGCCGAGGGGGCTGCTCCTCTATCCTGTTTTTTAAATGGGAAATGCCTCCCTCTTCACCACCACCACCCCTTTCTACGCCTGCAATTGCGACCAATGATTATTTTTTAACTCTTTATAAGAGATCGCTCGGTACGCCTGACTTGCCCGGGCTGTATTACAAATACCGAGTGGGAAACACTGTAACAACTCCCGGGGAAGATCGACAAAACAGAATGAACCAGCATCATCCTTGCATCCCAGCTTTCACAGGGCTGAGTGAAACATGGAAAGCAAGCCACCCTCCACGCGCGCACGTTACTGGAGTGGAAACCCCCCCCCGTGGGCTCAGGGCGTAAGGAAGCCTCGAACTGGGGGATTCCAGTTCCACCTCTTGCTCGACATAGCAAAACCACGTTATCTTCTGCCATCCACCTCTTTCTTAAGAGGCAAACATCCCATTAAAGTGAATTGACTTCCCAGGATTCATCCCCCTCCCTTTCACTTTCGTCACCCTCTAAAAAACTCTCATCGAAATATAAAAGCAGATCCACTTGCTTAGGATGGCAGCTGCATTTTCTCCTTCGTCCCCCTTTCTTTTCCACCAGCAGAACTTTCCCACCAAGCCCCCAAAATGCAATCTTTCTCGTTTATCTTTACCCCCTTCACAAGCCTTTCACATTTTCTTCAGTTCTATATTTCTCCCCCCCACACACACACACACCCAGTTTGAGGAAGTCTTAAGTTGGGGGGGTATCCCTCTCTCTCAATACAAAAGATTTTTGTATTGTGAAAGGACCCTGTGGCTTTAATTTGGTTGTGTGGTTTTTTTGTGGGGGAGGTGGCAAATCTCTCAAATTATCCTACCTCGCTGGGCTATTGTGGGGATGGCATGAGTTTGGCAACTGGCCCTGAGGTTGCTGCAGGGAGAGGAACAGGAGGCAGGATAGATGTCAATGTATTTCCTCTCAATGCCCCTGAGGTGAATTTCCTTAGTATCAAACCCAAAAAAGCTTGATTTATTCCAACAGCAATAGTTTATAATTTAAGGTACACGACGCTCTCAAGAGGGAGGTCCCCAAGATTTGAGCCTGTTAAAGCAAGGTCACCCACAAGAGTCCTGCAGCACCTTAAAGGCTGGGGCATGAGCTTTTGTGGAAATATGAAAGATTTCGCCTCAGGCACAAGGGGCAGGCAACCTTCCTGTTGCTAGTCCAGGCTGTGTCTGACTGGGAAGTACTTACTGAGGTACCTACCCTTCATGGGTTGAGAAAACGTAACATGAGGTGCCGGTTTTGTGAGAAGGTCCATTAACAAAAGCTGGACAAGGCTTTGGACCTGAATTTTGTAATTTGGACATATGAGGTAGGAAATTTGAGGGGGAGAATCCTACCAATCCTAAATTGGGAATAAAGTGTATATTGTGTGGGAAATTAAGAGGGGGGGAGGGAGAGACCCGCACATACTTTCATGAGGGCGAAATTGTAATAGGGAAGGGTGTTAAGACTTTCACACACACTTCGTTTCCCGTCGTTCTGCTTTGTTTCCCGCCTTTTGGCGGGGGGCGGGGCCTTGACATGCCGAGATTATCCTCGGCTTCGCCTCGCCTCAGCTTTCCCGCCCATTGGCTGGCTCACGCTTCCAAGCACGAGGGCGTCGCGCGACCACATGCCGCCCCCTCACCGCTCACCCGCCCATCAGAGGCCCCCGCCCTTCCCATTGGCCGCGCTCTTCCAAGGGCACCGCCCTTCTAGCTCGCGGATTGGACCGCAAGCAGGGAAAAGAAGGAGGGGCGAGGATTTTTTTAAAAAAAGGTTCTCACGCGCTTTTCGCCCAAGCTAACGGTCGAACTAGAGCGCGCGCGCTCGCTCTGTCTGTCTTGGCGCAGGCGCGCTGCGTTCCCTGCCCTCGCGGCTGAAGGGATTGAGAAGAGGGCTTTCAAAGCGCTGGCGCTTTTTTCTTTTTTTTTTATTCCAGGCCGCCGCGCGGAGTGCGCCACCTATAGGCCAGCTTGCAAAAAAGCCGTCGCTGCTGTTGATGGTTGAGGCGAAGCAGGCGGAGAAAGGGAGGGGGGTGTATTATTATTATTAATAACGACAACACTAATAACACTAATAACACTAATTAATAATAATAATAATAATAATAGCAATAGGAACAGCCAAGGGACGAGGGTGCAGAGGCATTGCTAAGCCTTTGTGGCTGATGATGCCCTGCAGCCGTTAAATTTTGCAGCAAGCGAGGGAAAAGGTGTGGATTTGTCCAAAGCCAAGAAGCTCTTTAAGAGTGCAAGGCAAAAAAAAAGCTTTAGAAGTGCAAAGCAAAAGCTTTTGCAAATCTCTTTTCCACCCCCACCTCCCCCCTTCTGTTTAATGTGCTGCTGCTGCTGGGTTGCCCTGCTTGCAGGGGTCCTGGCAAGCCTTGAGCATGTAAGTTCGAGGCTGGGCTGGTTGTTTCCCTGAATATGCCAAGCCATATTTAAGCCGTAGCCCTTTTGCACACAACAGGATTTAAAAACGCGCACACCTCTCAATACCTTGCCAAGGTATGTTATTGTGGAGCATTCATTCAGCAGAACTGAGCTGAATGATGACATCGTGTATAATTCCCTCTTCACTTCTTTTTGTGTGTGTGTATTATTAATGGATGGCGTTAAGAGGATTTGGCAGGGTGTTTTGAGAACCATTTAAATCAAAGCAGCACGCTCACTTTCTCGACACCCACATTGCTGTGAAGTTTGCAGAATAAATGGTACCAACATGCAGGGAGAGAGCGTGTCATCTCCTCTACTTAACCATCAGCTGGGCTCAACTTCTTTTTCTTCATTCCAGACAAATGCTGGATCTTTACAGCCACACGGATCGCTTAATAGAAGGCCAGCATTTCAAGCACACTTCCCCCCCACCTCTTTTTTCATATTTAGTGTAGTGATTGGCTCTGTTTCTACATTCCCTCTTATCATAAAAGTTCTGTGAAGTCGGTTAAAGAATTAGCTTTTTCTTTAAAACAGTATTTACTTCCAAGCTATGTTCAAGGCCTTACTAAATACAAAGGTTTGAAACCAGGCGACTCTACAATTAGCCAGAAGTCCTACTCACCTAATCTGGTTGGGCACATTTTTTTTTTTTTTTTTTTGTAGGTATAAACCACTGTTGATAGTTTGCCAAGGAAACCAACCTGTAAACCCTCCCCACCCCAAAGAATTGCTACACCAATATTGGGAGGATTTTCTGAATAGGACAATAGTTAAGGAAAGGAGGAGGAAACAGCCCCGGGGTTAGGTGCCTAGGGCTTTGACCCATCAGGCCAAAACTGAGGCTGCCAAAAAAAAGCCGGGCACAGAACCAAGATGGCACCCTAAAATCTGCACCGTTCATTGCTATTTCCCCTTCTTTCCCCTACATATGCCAATCACATGCGACCTAAGCTTCTACCAAGAGAGTATCAGAACTCCAAAGGTGCCAGAATAGCAATAAACAGCTCTGGAAGAGCCCAATCCAAAGGATGATGTAATGCAGGTGTCTGTGTTGCGAGCAAAGAGGACAATTTTTCTGTCAGAAACAAGACTTCATTTTCTAGACTCAAAAATGTTCCGCTCTTTTCTTCTCTGCAAAATGCCAACATAACATCTTTCCCTCCCATTGATCACTACAAATAGCTACAGAAGGGGAAATGGGAAGTAATTTACTTTCTTATTATACTAGCAGATATGTAACACTTACAAAGTTTGGAACTTTGTACTTTTCTGTAACTATCTGTTTTGGAAACAATCTGGGCAGGATGGTACACAACACTGATCCCCGGGGAAAAGTCTATATTTACAGCTTCTGCCGCCCAATTACCAACAATTAATTCACTGCATCAGGGAGGAGTCACCTTTATCACAGGGTTTTTAAGATGCAAACAAGATTGGATTTACCTTAGCAAGTAATGCAAAGCACCCTTAATTGGGTTTTTAATTACGAGAAACAAGGAGTTTGCAGGAGAAAAATCTCCCAGATAACTAGTTTTACGTTTTCAAGGTTTGGGGGAAATGCAGTAAAGGCAAACTGGAAGCTTTTCCTCCTAAAAAAAACACAAGTTCTACCAAAGGAAGTCTGACAGGAATTTGGAATTAAAGAATCATGTGCCCAGGAAATTCTTATGATCCTCCATATACAAAAACACTCCTAGTTAATCCAAGCTTTCTTCATTTCAATGCCATACTTTGGAATAGGGTTGAGTAACTTGTTGCTGCTATTGTTAAAAAGTGAGAATCAAACATCCTTGCCGATCTACTGCAAATCACCCTGGGAACAAAAATAAATAAATTGAGATCTCTCTTCTGCTCACCTGGACTCCATAGTCAATGGGAAAATTGAATAGGTGGGTCATTAACTATACTAGTTTGCAAAGTCAAAGGGGAAACGCCCATTGAAAAAATGTTTCAAAGCACTGGAATTTTTCTGGGTCTTTTAAATATATACGTATAGATATATTAGATTTATAAGATGGAATCTTGAACTGAAAGCGGTTCAGTCTAATTCTAATCAAGATAACCCAGCAATAAATCTCATTTATTT